TAAAGTACGAATATTCCCCATTTTCTGACATTTCCTACATAAAATAAAAAAGCATTTAAAATATTTTGTAAGAATTAACTACATTTATTTTTACATTCTCCTTTTAAAGTAATGATTTAATTTTAAATATGGCTCTGTAGAGGCTGTCTTAACAGGGTATTTAAGACTAAATCTGTGCGGTTTAAAATTAGCACACTTATCAAAATAATTACAAAACTTGCAGGCCTAATTCACAAGCTGCAGGCTATGTAAAATAGCTTTAGTTTATTGTTAATTATTATTATTATTATTATTAGACTATTTTTTTTTAAAAAAAAACTTCAATTTTTATTTGAACATTAGCCTACATCTTTCAAAATAGGAAGCCTAGTTAGGATTAAACGGAGATGGGCTACTTTTAGAAAACGTAGCTATAATCGTATCGTAGCCTATTATCACAGTCTGGTACCGTTTAAAAAAAAATGTATAGCCTACAGTATATTAATGCGTCCTATTGATTTTTTAAAGTCATTCAATTTAACCAAATGTAGGAGCTGACTGGTTATCTAGTGGAAATGAATGTGGATGGGCCCCGTGCTGAGAGAACCGAGCCGTTTAGAGTTTTGTGTATTCCAATCTATTCCTTGCTTATTCTTTACATACTCTGTAAAGACTGGTTAGAAAGAACACATCTACGTGCAAATTAACTCAATTACAATGCAGATTAGATCTCAGGGGAAACACCTTCATTTATTGGTCTTATCACCAAAATAAATTAACAAAAAAACAAAACACGCCTCTCCAATTACTCTCCAAGTGAGCTGGCTTGGGCTGTACTGTGGCGGTGAGTTGATCTGTACAAAAATGCTCGTGTTCGATTCAAACATAGGCTTCGGGTCGCTACTTTTTTAGATTTAATTCATTTTGAAACATTTGATCCGAAGCGAGTATGACAATTACCATTGTTTTATACGTGACTTAAACACACCACTGACGTCGGTAGAGTGAAAAGGTCAATAAAAATAGAAAACTTTTTTTATAGCCTACACCAAGAAAAACAAATTTGTCTAAATAGTACGCTAAATGAGAAAAACAAACAAACAAATGTTAAACTAACATAAAAAAAAACAACTTTAACATTAAACTTAGTTCCGTTTTGTGAAGTTGAACTAAAATTAAGGGGGGAAATAAATTAAAAGGCGCATTTGTTCTTACCTTTTTCAGAACCCTACGTCCTTCTCCTCTCCTCAATTTTTGCAGTCTGACAAGACGATAAAAATATCCACCAGTGGAAGAGTTCAGGAAGGTAAATCGACCGAGGAACCTCGCCAAATAAATGTCGTCTAAAACTCCTCAAAACTGCAGCAATGTTGATATGGCGCACGTGTCTGGCTTTTAGCTGGACTTCTTGTAGCTTATTGAGTGTGTGTTCCCGGGGTTTAAAACCAAATACATTAAACTCATTTGCTTTGGCTTTCTCGTTCGTGTCTGTCACTAGTTTAAGGTGATAGCTAATGTAGACGGATGGAGATTGATCACCTTCTCCTAACCCTGCCTCTCTAAGAGAGTAGGACACCTGCAGATCCGCCCACTCCAGCCAATCACCGCGTATTCCCTACTTGATTGACAACTGTAACAACCAGTCCACGGGCAGAACCTCTTTAAAGCCCCACCCCGCGCTGACTAAAGACATCAAGAACATGCACCGCACCGTCCAAATAAATCTTTAGAATTTTGAGAAGACCTAAAATATACAGAAAAGTTAAACATTTCCTAGAAATGGGTTGGTAAATATATTAAGAAATGGGCTTCATTTATGAAATGAAGGTAGGCTATAAAACATTTAAACCATGCTATTTAAATTATAATATTTTTGCGCTACATTGATTTTTGCGATAGAAAGAGTGTGTTACCAAAACATTTAATTAGGAAGTCGTATCAAATGTAAACATTTAATTAACATTGCTTAATTACAATTGTAACAGTTTTATGTCTTGATGTAGCTAATGTCATTTGGTTTAGCTGGCCTCTAGGAAAAGAAAAATCGGAAACTGTAGCCTATCGAATTTTCAAATATTATTAATTAATTAATTAATTAATTAATTAATGTGAAGGCAGAATTTACCCACTTGGGTTAAACAGCCTAATATAATAAAAGCTATACACTAGGCTATCCAAATTAGTTAAAAAAAAAAATAGAGGATATTAAGGTATTTACTGAAATGTCTGACATCACGCAAATAAAAAATAAAAATAAAATAGGCTAATTCACAAAGTAGGCTATCGTTTGATGCTACAAAATTTAAGTGATCGATTCATATATAGTCCATCGATTTGAAGCGGGGTAAAATGCATCAAAAAAGTTTAATTTATCCACTTTATCTATTTTCATTTTTATTGTTACCTCGCCTCATGAATATTAATGAGTGGCTAATCCCCACTTAGAATTACATTTCAGAATAGTGTGCGTAAAGTTTAATAGGCAGACGGAGAGGAAACGTGAAAGGGAGTGAAGAAAAACTCGGCCCTTCCAGAAAAGAAACGAAATCAGCACATAGAGAGAGTCTGAGCCTCGGAGAATCAAAAAAGCACCTTTCAAGCCTCACTTTCCCAAAGAAATGCCAATAAAATACGGTAACAGAATATCACGGAGGGCGCGGTGTTTCCTTAACTGTTTCTGAAAGGCTCAGAAGATCTTAATAAGGCTTCGCTCGGTCCTTTTGTTGATCTCACAAAATCAACTCATTCTAATTGAGGCCTGAGCTGAAAGCGACCTAATGTTCAAAGCAAGTGACCGCCGGAGGAACGAAATTACATTTTTTTACTATATGGGGCATCCAATCAAAGACCGGGCGGCATTGCACGTTTCTTCTATAGATCAACAAAGTCATCGACAAAAGTACTCTTGGGAATAACAGAGATGCTGCTGTTAGCCGTCAATAGACGCGGGTAAACTAAAGGGGGAAAGTTATTGGATACTGCTTAGAAGTACGGTGAGAGGGAATGCGCATATTAAATGTTTATACCGCCTGTTTAAAGCACAAGTGCTGCCTCCAGCCCCCCATATAGGCAGAATCCACCTGCCCTTAAACTATGTCCACGGACAATAATAATAATAACAACAACAAAATGTGATCCTTAAACACACAAAAGAAATATAACCTAAAATTCCTTTATCCGTTTGCTGGTTAATTCTTTCGGCCCTGGTGTTGCTAAGACCCCGTGATAAAGCCAGCACAAGTATCAAGTTATCAGGTTGCAAGAAGTTTTGTAATAAGAGTATTTTGTCTAATCCCAAATTGCAGTCGAATTTTCTAAATGCTGAGCTCGTAAATCTTGGGATTAGAGGAGGCGAGAAGAGGAGGGGGAAAAGTTTGGTTTCTTTAGCCGGCAGGATGGGAGCGAGTCGGCGACGTTGTCGGTCCTTGTTAAAACGATGATGCATACAATACGATATTGAAGCTCGTACAGAAGGCTCGGTACCGTTTCCCCCGGTGTAACCTATTTTAGGACGAGGGAAGGATTTTCGGCGGTCGAGGGGCTTCGTCAAGTCCAATTGCTCAACACCTGAAGTCAGGCCGTGGACTTCAAAGCTGGATGCACAGAACGCGCGCTCTGCTCGCGCTGAGATGCTGTCCTGCTCTCGACGCCGTTTTGGATAGCTCTTTTCTTTTTGTCTGTGATAAGAACATTTATTTTGAAAAGCTTTCTTTTATTTATTTTTCCTCCCCGCACACACTATTGGTTTGAGCATGAAAACAACAGTTGGCAAAATGGACAACAATCAGGTAAGGAGGGAATTGTGCATTTTGACAATGCCACACTGCATGTGAGTGTGTGAACTAGATACCCAGATAATATATTCGTTTTTTTTAAAATTCTCGTTTGTGTTTGAGTGTGTGAAATGAAGAGAAAATACCTGAGATAGGCTTTCTAAACTTTCTGATAGTTGCTTTACTGAAACAGAACATTAACTGAGTATATAGGCTAATGCAAGAAACTATAAATGGCTATAATAATTTAATCAAATATTTTGTTTTACAAAAAAATAAATAAAGTTTAAGCGTTTTAAAAAATGATACTTGTAAAAAAGTGGAATAAAAAGACAGGCTACTATTCCAGAAGTAAAATATTAATATTCCATCCCACGTTTCACGGGGACAAATCAGATTTATGCATACACATCTTGTATTAAATTAGGCATCTGAATGGACTAAAGAACAGTTCAAAGCGGTCATTTGGAGATGAACACCACGCTGCCGTCTCATCAGGATTACACGGACCTCGCCACAGGTCTAATGCATAAAATTATGACATGCGTTTCAAGCATCTCACTGGCTAAAACTCTCCGATTAGTTAAGGCAACAAACAAATGTCCTTTCCGCCGCCGTGTAATTGCTTGTGAGCGGCAGTAAGTGTCTCAGAAGATTACAGTCATCTGTGATGATAACTGCAAAATAATAAACACAAAAACAAAACACCCGGTGGGGGGGTGGTACAGTCGGACCCAACCATCAGCAAATTAATGTGGAAGTATTAGAAGGGCTAAGGGAGGACGTCAGCTGTCAAAACTTATTTTGCTCGTTAAATGGAGGATGCGAAGCTGCGGTGATGACTGTTTGGCTCAGAATTAAGTGTCTGAGGGAAAGCAGATGCTTTGGACGGAGTGATTCTGCCTTAATCTCTCTACGAGAAAAGACCTCAGACAAAACAAAAAACAAACATTAACTTAGAAATAATCGTAAAATGCAGGGGAATTTTCGCAAAACGAACTGGATGTCCCTCTCGAGTGTCTGTAAATTGTTTTATTAAATTATATTGTATATGTATGTATAACGTCTATCTTGTTTCGTCATAGAGCGACTACATATGGGGTTTAAAGAAATGAGTGTCAGAAACGTCAGTCCAGTCAGAATATAGTCTACGAAAAATAAAACACCATTAATTAAAGTGATTATTATATCCTTGGGTCAAACATCATATAAACAGGCAAATCTATTCAATAATGACAGAAGAAAATATGCAATTATTTGTAATGTTTTAATAAAAACGAACAGAACTGCATAAACGGCTAAATTAAACGTGTTTTAAAATTCAAATTCTTTATTCAGTATCAGCTGAAAAACGATGACACAATTTTCTTTAGAAAAACAAGGCCAAATCTATTAGCAACATCCAGAACCACACCAGCTGCTGTTTGATTTGAGTATGAAATCATTTTGAATTTTATTGAACAGTGATATTTATAGTACAGTTGAATAAATAAACCAGTGATGCTCATACAATAAAGAAGTGAAATATGCGGACAAGAAAAGCCTCCCTTCTAACTATACAATAAATATTAAAGTTTTTGAGCAAATGTACAGGATTGAGAAAATGGTTACTTTAAAAACGTCTCAAACAGTAATAAACGCAAACAGTAATAAATTACTTTGATCGTGACTGCAGCTTCTGAAAATAAAGTTGTTTTTTTCTCCATACTTTTTTAAGGCTCAAACAGTGAAATGAAATGTACAACATGACCGTTTATTTCTGTTTAAGCACTCGCAGTATTTCACTCTTCTCAGTAAAGAAAGCTCTAAAATGTTTGGTAAACATATTAAACATAAAAAAAAGTCAGTAAAACACAAAATATTTTTTTTGTAAATGCAACAAGTCCCCCTTCACAAATATTCTACACACAGAAAGTTGAGTAATTAAAACATTTCAGCTCTTGTTAGAGGAGAACATGCTGATAGATTTTCTTAAAACTGAAACGTGATATGATTTTGAAACCCAATCCTATTCACAAACAGAAAATGTCCCCAGTTTATGCGCTGTACCGAAACTTTGAGTGATAATTTCCCGTAAGAAAGAAACTGTGAATGTCTTAGTGTTCAGATTAATCTAAATTATAATGGATTTAACCATTTAGTCAGAAAGTTTTCGAAATTGTACAGCTTTTTGCATCTCCTCAAATTTTAGTTCAAGTACCTCGTTTGTGAAATCCAACAAACCAAACAGTAACAATGTGTTTGCATTTGTTCATGTGAAACAATAAATCTCTCTTGTATTAATGAAACAGGGTGCATCTCAGGGCATTTAGCAGTTCTTCAGCCCTTACATAACAAAAAGATCAACATATGAAGATTTAAAACAAAAATAATAAAGTGTATGGTGTAGTCTCTATGACACAAATACATTTCAAGACTTTGTAGCGTACACGTCATCTTGCTCCTTTGTTGCTTCGGAAATGACCATCACTGAAGAACGCACTTCTCCTCTTTCTTTGCCATCTTGCCTTTGTTCTGTTCTAGGGTTCTCTCCAGGTGCTCATCTTCCTCTTCAGCCCTGCCGACACACACACAGGACACACAGGACCAAAGGTCACACACATGGACACAGGAGAATGCCACCTGCACCTCCACCACCTATGACCTGTACTCTTGTCTGAATGGCTTCAGAGTCACTTCAGCTCTAGAAATACTCTCACAAGACCTCACTGCCTGAAACACCTATCATGCTCAGTGGCAAAGAGAATGAGAGTGACTGCAAACTTTGGCCTTTAAACCCTCCCTGAACCACGCTACAGGGCCTAAAGGACTAATCCTGGCTCTAGCAATCCCACAATGCCTTGCGGCAGGAGGACTTACTCTTTCTCCTGGGCGTCCAGGTCTCTGACCAGCGCGTCACGTTTGTTGACCAGTATGACCAGCTCATCCAGCAGCAGCTGCTCTCGCCGCTTCTGTGCCTCCGTCTTCTGCCAGTCTGGAAACAAGGGAGAATGTTACGAGGAAAACCTCACCTTCTCCTTCCAACACAATCCAGGAAAGGGGACTTAAAGTGATAGTTCGCTTAGTTGATTTACTCACCGACACGACTATCAAAAACGAAGATATTATAAAAATTCATTCATCAAAATTCTTCTCAGAAGAAAGAAACTCATATAGGTTTGGAATGACATTAGGGTGAGTAAATGATGACAGAAACTCAACATTTTGAACAAAGACGTCATATACTGGGTTTTAGTGAGAAAGACATCACTGTCCCGTGATAAAATATTCAGAAGAGAAAGCGTAGCCCGTACCGTTGTGGAGTTGTAGTGAAGTGTGCACCTACAGGTGCCTGTATGGAGAGCAGTCACACGGTGGAATTCAGACGAAAAGGATCTGATAACGCCAGTGAATGCGAGGACAGTGCTTTAAGTACACTAAACTGCTTTCAGACGCCTAAAAACAAGCTCCCAAAGAGATGCACCGACGCATTTAAGATAGCATGAATACATTAAGATTCACACATAGCAAAAAAATGTGTCCATAAGTACATGATAGTTCCATAATCTGGAAGAAATGTTTTTTGTAATGTATAAAAGGTGCGTAACTTTAGCAAAAGGTCTCTGTGAGGTGACCTGCTCATGTCCCTCTGCCAACAACAGGTCTGAAATATCAGCCAGGCAGACGGGATCAGGCCTTACTGATACCAGTGCAGATTAGGGCCCTGCTCACAGCCAAGGGGAAGTTATCTTACCGGGCCTATTCTTCAGTCCGCTGTAAGAACAGACTGTACTTGTGTCTTTACACTGCTTTATTAGCGCTCCCTCATGCACATAGACTCACAAAAATACAAATCAACTTCTCTTATTACATAGAGCCGCCAAATTCTATCAGAAAAAGAAAAGATAAACACACATTCGGCCTTCTGAGAAGTCAACACTTGAAATAAATATGTTATGTGAAATTGCAGTGTGGTGCTGAGAGTCGTTGGTCCTCGCTCTCGTTTAACCTCTCCGCCTTTGAAGTGAAGCGCCTTTCAATATTTGAAAGTTATTTGGCCCCCAGCAGCTAAATGAACGTCTTTGGTGTTCTGACTCTAGGCTTCAGAGAGGGTAATGCTTAAATATTTGAGAGGATTTGTCTCAGCTTTAACAAATTTGTCAAATTTTAACAAAAGCTGCAGGAAAGATAATGAAAAAAAAAGGTGCATTGTTCTTTAAAAAGCAATTTAGCTATTTGCAAAAGTGAGAAAAAACATTACGTTTAATTTTCTGTTATGCTAGCAATGCGACACAGGCCGGCCACTTCTTGTGCGCCTGCAGTGCCGTCCGTATTTAACATCCGACAGGCCCGACTGTTTATCCTGCCTCGCTCTCCATACGTTCTGTCTTTCACGACCCTCCTCTTTAATTCGCTCTGTCGTTTCTGCTACCCCTCCGTCAAAAACGACAATGCCTACACTACAAAGACCTGCCTGGAGGGTAGGCTGCGACCAACAAAAACTTCTCCTGCATGTCCCAAAGAGGTAGAGAGAGAAAAAGCCCTCTCCTCCTCCTGTTCCCCTTCAGCATTCTCAGCCAAAAAGCCACAGATCCTCCCCTGCACCTCCAGCAGAGGCCGCATGCAGCTGTCAATCAAGCGGAAGCGGCGCCGCCCCCCTCATTAAGAAGGTAAACAATGAATATGGACGCAGAGGGACACGGCAGAGTAAACGAGCCATCGCAACTCGCCAAAAAACACTAACGGAAGCTGCTGCCTCCTCTCTTTTCCCTTGAAGAAGAGATGGATGAAGACTATTTGGAGTTGGTGGGGTGGTGGGGGTTCAATCCTTTTTGGATTACTCCCCTCTTTCTCTCTCTCTCATCGCCCTGGGCAATCACGTTAAAACTCACATGGTCGGTGCTTATTCAGATAACCCTAACAATGCACACCAATGGTAACCATGTGAGCACTCACAACCCACAGAAGAATGCGCTGGTTCAAATCCCCATGACCCTCCTCCACAGCAAAATTTATTCAAGAGTGCAACCTGCTCGGCAGCTTCAGGAGCCACAGAGCTTCTTCTGAGAGTTCTGCTGAAAGATCCCCAAACACAAGAAACTTCACACACCCGCTCTGCTCGCTATAGTGTACGGACGCATGGAGCAAACTTTTGGACTGAATGGAGTTTTTTTTTTTTTTTTTTGGAAAGAAATAACTGGAAATAAGTAGTGTTGGAGGAATCCAGGGAAAAATGCATGATCTTATTACAGCAGATTTAGGCAAGCAGTGGGCAGGCTGGGAGCGCCAGCGTAAGATGGAGCTGGAGAGAGGCCAGCTGGAAATGAGACAAAGACCAACATGGAGAACCATGACAAGGAGGGTGACGGGACGACAGTGCCTGGATTCTTACCAATCTACACCCAAACTACATCAGATACAAATAAAGTGACTATCAAAAACAAACCATATACACAATGTCTTTGAATAAATCTTTGAATCACTAATCTGCATCTTGTGTTTCTGTGCATGCATATGAGCGATGTTACTAATTTGTTTTTGTTTTTTAAATGGAAAAAAACTTTAACTACACAAGGTTAAAAACTGAAAAAAAGGCACAAATGATTTCAATAAAATTATACAGCCTTGATATCAACTACTGTTAACAACTGAATATTAATGACCCAAATGAAATAAAAACAGTTTAAAAATATGAATAATATTAAAATATTCAAATATTATAATATAATATTAAAAATAATAAAAATATATATTATAAATATATATTATAAAAAGCACAACAGAATATATTGCGACGACAACACGAAAAACTTGTGTGAATCAGGAGACTACACAAATATAAATATCTATTAGTTGCTGTTGTATAAAAGTGGATATTGAGTGTCAAATGCAGAAAGCAACGGCTAAATGGAAATGAACACAGATTTCAGTGAATAGTGTAGAATGAGAAAGTGTCGTCTCGCCTTATCTCCAGTTCCAGTCAACTAGCAATCTTGAAAGAGTTTGCAACATCATCAAAGCTGGCCATTTGATAGGATTCTCACACTGCACCCAATCAATCTGAGGAATACGGCAGCCCAGACATGTAACAAAGCTCAAATAGATTTACAAATGGGGTTGTAGGGGGATAAGCCCTTGCACAGGATTACATATTGATTTTAAACATATAAAAAAGCTTATCATATAAAACCGTAACAACAAAACTGGGGGACCTATGCAGAAATCCCTCAGCAAAAAGGAGCGTCCACTTTCAAATATAACGCCCCGGAGTGCACCGCATTTGAGGAAAGAAAGAAATAGGGAGAGGGGAGGGGGGAAAAGACGAATTTGAGAGAAAGCGTGTGTGCATGGCAGGCAGATAAAAAGGCCAAAAAGGATCAATTTGGAGGCAGAGAAATAGGAGTCATGGCATATTGTGGAAGGCCTCGGCACTTTTCTTTGCCTCCCCACAGCAGAGCGCAGACTGAAGGGGTTATCGTTTAGCTGACATTAACACTCACCCTGTTTGCTCTACACTTTTAACCGAATCCTTCAAGTCTTTTCAACCTGCCTTTATAATTTATATATATAAAAAAATAAAATAAAGAGAAATCCCATACTGGTGTCCACAGGCTCCAGATCTAATAATGTGTAATGCAACAGGCAACAAGTGAAGCAGGTAATGATATCTACAGTATTATTAAAAAAAGGTAAGAAAAAAAACAAAACCTGGTCCAGCTGGAAAAGGTTGTTCCACATGTCATGCTAGTCAGGGTTAATTCAGATCTGCCTTTTAAAATTCAAAATTCAATTCAATTTAACTGGACAAATTCCACAGAAAAATTGACCTGGAATTTGAATGGTAAATGACAGGAAGATAAATTTACTGAATTGTATAAAAAATTATGCATTCTAGGAAAATAATTAATCTTCAATTATTGTTCATAAAAGATCAGTTAAATTGATAATTTATGAGATCTATCTATCTATCTATCTATCTATCTATCTATCTATCTATCTATCTATCTATCTATCTATCTATCTATCCATCCATCCATCCATCCATCCATCCATCCATCCATCTACATCCAAACACTTTTTGCAAACTTTTAAGTTGCTAAGCCAACATTCAAAGCTCGTCTTGATAGTTTTTCAGTTAAACACCAATGATGCATTTCAAATCATTTTAATTGTGCTACTTATATTATTCAAATGTAAATTTAAATGTAAATTCAAAATTAAATTCTAACCTCAATTCCTTTTTCTAGGAAAGTTAGAAGATAAACAACATTTAAGGACACCTTATAATGGAAAAACAAATCCTCCTTGACAATTTGAAAAAAAAAACAAACTAAAATGGCTTAAAAGCTACCCAACCCTCTCCATGACATCTATACGAGCCTTCAATATTACTCATCTCCAGGTCACACTGACTGTAGACTCTCCTCTGCACAGTCGTGGGGTCAAAGAGGGTGAGTATTTTTCTCTATCAGCGAGAGAGTGTGCACTGATACGGGAGAAAGTGTGTGTGTGTGTGTGAACGCCTCAGCCGCTACACTTCCAATGTCATCAGCTGACCAAGCAAATCAGCAATTACCTGACTGCATTGCCTGGGCGCGAGAGCCGTCGGGGCTCCAAATAAGAAACTGATGCACGAACCTCCTTCACCAGCAGCTCAGAACTATCTCTGACTCGCTTCAGAAACACCCTGACTCTGAATGCCAAGTGCTGGGCCTCATGAGAAAGAGAGAGAGAGAGTGAGCAAGGGAGATAAAGTAAGAGAGAGAGAGAGAGAGAGAGAGAAAATAACTGCGAGTGATAATTCAACAGGTAGCAGTGTGTGGACTGATAGGGTTGTTACAAGCAGCAGGGACTGAATTACCACTGCCGTGGACGGACCCTGTCACCCTTGCACATCCAGACCAATATTTGGAACCCACTCCGTGTTCACTGATAAGTGGACACAAGGCCGAGGCACTTCAACATCTGAACAGTTATTAGTCCTCGATATATCGGGCTCAGCATTTAGCGTTCAGTATCACAGTGACTCTCAGCGTGGAGGAATCTTTCAGAAACAAGACAGAAGCATGTCAAAATATTGAGATGAACAGTGTTGATCTGCCTCGGAGGAGTGTGTGGCGAGCGGCAGCATCACAAGATGGGGAGCTGTGCTCTCTGCTTGGCTATTCATGTCCACTGTCAACCTCTCCGAACTAATTAGAATTGATTTATGATGGATCAGCTAGCTTATCAGGTGCAGAAAGAAATTACCATGGCTAGCCAAGGGGTGAGAGGGTCACCATCGAATTGTAAAATCAATTTGCATTGATTGTAAAAGGTTCATTTTGCGAAAGAGGACACAGTCAAAGGGATTAAACTTAACCAGACAACTTTGATACAGCACAATAGGCTTTATTTTTTTTACTTTCCTTACCTGTCTGTATTACACACACTCAAAAAGCTTATAAACATGAGCGTGTCCTTCAGCGCCTTCAGCGATTTAATATTGATGTGGAAATGACATGTGCACTTTTGGCTGTAACACTTGTGATTTTGAGAGCAAATCGTATCTTGTGTACAATCCCAGGGTGAATTTGTAAGATTTACGTTATTAAAGGGTAGTGTTTTCAAATCAGAGCTTGGTGGGCGGAGCCATGTCAGTGATGTCAAAGAGCACGTCGCGGGCAGGTTTAATTAAGCAGGAGAGGATCTTTGTCTTTCACAGAGCGCCTCTCAAATTCACCCCCAAATCCCTCTTTCACTCCCTCTTACCTTCAATCGCCAGCATTGCCCTTAATTCTCGGTTCAGCAGCTCAAAGCGTCTCTCCAGATCGTGTTCCTTCTCCCTGGGCAAGTTGTAAAAGTTCATCAATATGTTAATTACTAAATCATTAAACACTTAAAGAAACCTTTAATAAACATTGATTCGTGAACTCGCCAACACCTTCCCTACCTCACATTAATCTACTGCAAATAAGCGATACACAAACCGGAACAGAGGGGACTGAGAGCGGGGAAATGGCGAATTGGGTGGGGGGGTTGAGGATAAGCGGGCGGGCGGGGTATCGCAAGGCAAATTAAATTTCACCACTTTCAAATGTATTGGAAATGAGCTAACTCTGTCCCTAATAGAATTTGTCCTTCACAGCCTGTTCGGTGACTAAAAAGAAATGAAAGAAAAAGAAATTATCAAGGCCTTTTTAATTGAGCACTTAAAAAGCCCTTTTCCAGTGATATAATGTGATTAGAATACTTCAATCTGTCATTTGTGAGAGCTTTGAAACTCTGTCTCTTTCTTCTCCTCTTCTCTCTGTCGCTCTTTATACAGAATGAACAGCCTGCCAGATTTCTGTACGTCTCACTCTCACTTTTAAAGAAAAGGATGAAAGGTTTAAAAAAATTAACATTATCATCGTATGAGGCACAAAAAAAAGAGGGTAAATATGCAGGTTATTGTTATGGCTTCCTCCTTTAGGTGAATGAAGTCATTTTTTCTATTCTTTTTTTGGTCGATCCAATTCTCATAATGGGTGGAATAATACAGTCTTTGAAATCACATTATTGCAGACGCGTCCGTACTGATATGACGTTTTGTCCTCTTTACGGTGGAGGGCCGCCGGGGGAGGGGTGAAAGTGAATGAGGGGCCCGACCTTCTGACTGGGCTCAGGTCTCTTGGGAAAATCATTTCAAGTGTGGGTCTCAACATATTATAGATGTGTGTGCTCAGAGACCCCAGCTTCCATTGGTAAGGGTGAGAGAGAGAGAGAGAGTGTAAACATTAACTCACAGCAGAGAGAGCTGGTTCTGTCGGCGGATAAGAGCATTCTTCTTGTTGACCAGTGTGAACCATTCCTGCATCATGGATTCCTCCTCTTCCTTGTTATTACCTGAAGACACACACGGAAAAAACTTAGCATGTAAAACATTTTTATACATTCTTGTCATATTATAAACATCATTCTGGACTTCCAGTGGGCTGTAAGTGGGTGCTGAGAGACCTGCTTCAGAAAAATATAACTAAAATGAATATTTTCAAAAGAAAAGAGTACAGAATTTAACATTACAATTTCATTCTGTTTTCTAAAAAGCGCTAAGAAATCATCATCACAAATTATTTAGTCATCAAAAATTCCCACTAATTACCAGCTAGATGTCTGTAAATATTAATTAGCCAACCATTCAAGTCCCACAAATCTCCACCTTAAACCTCAATACAACAGTTTAATTTCCGAAACGGCCCATAAACACACACCTTAACAGAAAGCTAAACGCACACTTTTGACCGACTTTCTCTAAAACGGATAAAGTTAAGCACTTTTCTCACACCTCCAACGAATATAAAGTGCATCAAATGAGATTATCTGACAGGCTTTTCTCAACAGCGCAGACTGACACGCACATTAGGAAGCTATCCAGATGTGTGTTCACTACCATATTTAGCCACATATTAGACACTTCACAAGGTACTGGCATTGTCAGTAAAACAGAGATGCCTCTGGATTAGAGCAGGATTAATGCAGGCTGGTTACTTTCCTCCGCTGACTGGGATTAAAGCTTCAACTCCAAACTCCAGGTCTTTGTGCAGCCTCAGAGCTTCAGATCCGATCCCATCCAAAAGCACGTCCTGTGCCTTAGGCCTGCATACAACTTGCGCAGTCGGAAACTACAGGTGGAGGCCCGTACATTGCTCAGGGGCTGAATGTATGACAGGTAAGAAACTCAATTACATAGTTTAATTATAATGGCAAAAAACAGCTGTCTGATAGGTCTTATTCAAAGTTTAGTGTCAGTAATATAAATACTCTTATTCAGCAAGGATGTATTAAATTGATCAAAAGTTACAAAAGATTTATATTGCAAAGAAAGATGTCTTTTGAATTTTCTATTCATCAAAGAACCCTAAAAAAAGGGAAATATTAAGCAGCACAACTGATTTCAACAGGACCAAATCATCATATTTTTGAGGGATCATGTGACTCTGAAGACTGGAATAAATTCAGCGTTGCCATCACAGGAATAAATGATATTTAAAAAAATATATAAAAGAGAAAAATGTTTTTTTTTTTTTTAATCTAAAACAGAAAAAGTGAAAGTAAGTTGAAAACATACTGGGAGACAAAGATTTAATCTATTGTGGGTTTTGTCTGGCCAAGCGATGCCATCTCGATTCAAAACTTTATTTGACCTCGGAAGGTATCAAAGGTAAGAAGACACTGGGGTTTGGTAGTTTGGGCCGTGAGGTAAACCGGTTAAGTGGGTTCAGGAAGAATGACTCCGATGTCAGTATCCTGAGCATTTTTGTGACACTAATTATGTCTTTGAAGAGGGATGAAAGAGGAGAAAAGATGAAAGATCCTTTAAGCTTATGTAATCACATCACCTACTCTATGCTCCTGTGATACCTGTCTGTTTCTGACAGCATCAACAACAGAATTAGCATCTGTACACAAACACACTCACTCTTTTTACTAATGTGAGAGGGCTTTAAGATCAACTTTTGTAGATCTTAAGATGAGAATTACAGTGCCACACCATTAAATAGAGATCTGCGCATCTGAGAGATCCTAGATGACTTTGATATGCATTTAGTGTAACTGTAGTGCCAAACACAAAGACAATTACACCTAGCATTTATGGTCATATTATACTGCCAAAAAAGGTTATTTAATCAATATAGTATTATGAGCAGCCAGCAGAGTGCTTGGAAGCACATTCACATTTCAGCATGACTTTCAGTGTTTTATTCCTTAAAAAAACAGTTACCAAATATTAAATATAAAAGGACACACATTTTCAGTAAAAAATTATTTTGTTGACATCTTTTCATCTAGATAATATAGTTGCTATGCAACAGGTGAACAAGCCATAAATGTTACTATATCATGCATTTCAGCATGCTGTATTGACCAATCAGACGGCAGGACTAAATATGTTTCAAAAAACACGGGAAATGACAGTCTGTCTGTGTGCACAGAGCCATTACGAGGACGGGGTGGGGGTGACAGAGGGCGGATCTTCAATAAGGGGCTGATGTGGGAACTTGCACCTTGGATCTTTTTTCTATCACGCTGTTGCTTGGCACCATGTGACTGTGACGCTGGTCATGTGAGAGAGACAAATCCGCTAGCCACAACAAAGCCAGCGGCTGCCCCCGGTGGGACAACGGCCCTGTCACTCAACCCCACCAAAACTCCCCAGTCCTCCACCAGGGGAGCCGCTCTAATGTCTGCCAGTGCCAGATGTGTGAAATTTAGCATTTGACGACAACGCAGAGTAGACAGGAGGGGGAAAAAAAAGAGGGGGTCCGGGATTTAGGAATCAAGCCTGGATTATTGTAGTCAACTTTTAAATAGTGCAGCTCGGAAGGGATAAAGTGTGCAGTGACAGGTCATTGTAGCGACGCACAGTCAAATGAAACAAGCAAATAATAAATGGTAATATTAAGCTTGTGTGACATTGTAAGGGAATGACGGATTAGTAGCCGCATCCCGGAGGCCATTGCCTGAGCTTCAGCACTGACAGAGCCCTAACGGCATGAAAGAAGTCCTCGCTTTACCACTAAAACAAATAAAACGCACACAAACACTCTCATTCTACAGAAATACACTTTCTACAGTGCCAACACTTAAACTATGACCTTTGATGGGGATGACCCAAATAACTGATGTCCTGAAATGGCAAAAAGTACAAAGCAAAAATAAATAAATAAGTAAATAAATAAATAAATAAATAAATAAATGTTAACACTTTACAAAAGGTTTCATTAGTTAACATTAGTTGGGTACTACTTGGGTAACAGGAACTAAGAATTAACAATACTTCTACAGCATTGATTAATCTTAGTTAATGTTAATTTAAACAATTAAAAAAAAACGTTTTTTTTTAATATTAAAATGAATCTGATTTAAGATTATGTAAAAAAGCCATAATTTAGACAGTTTACACAGACAATACAAATCAAAATATTTTTGTGTTACAGTGCCTGTTTAACTCCAAAATATGCTATTGTTGTTTCTGGGTGCACCTCATTTTTTCCTGCTGATTTTCATTTCTTCATTTTAGAAAAAAGTACATTGTAATTTTAAACTAAAAAATAATATTAATTTAACGAATTAAAATGGTTTTGTGCACTTGTACACTTTTAGAAAGAAGGGTTCATTGGGGTTCTATATATGAAGCATAGGGTTCTTTACAACGAACCTTTTATGCTAAAAAAAAAAAGGTTCTATAATGACAAGACTTAACATAATATCACAATTTAATCATGCTGATTTTTGGAGGAGAAAAACTGAAATGGCACTCTTCGTGTGATATTGATTAACTACATAAAATAACTCCCATGTCTTGAATTTTGTGATCATTCACATGCATTCATAAATACATTTTAGGGTCTTGATGTTTGTCAATAATATGAAATATTTAATCCGGAAAGGACAAAACAAATGATAATGAATGAACCCAAAAGGTTCCATATAGAACCTTTTTCCTGGTTACAAAGAGCCCTAAAGGGTTCTTATTATTGAACCCTTAAAAAGGGTTCTGTATAGAACCTTTTAGGGGTTCCAAATACGTAGCGCTGATAGCATCTTTTAAGCTTCTATATAGAACCTTTTCTTCTAATAATGATTCATAAAATTCTACATAGTATGAACTAACATTTTTTTTCCATTTGTAAGACACAAATAATAAGAGAATTATATATTATAATTCTTTTAGAATTATGCAGTTTCTATTACATTCTTTGATGGACAACATTATTTTCTCCAGAGCAATGAATAAAATCCATTTAAAAATAAACAGATACTGCTTCCCTAGCTTGGCTGATCAGTCTCAATCACAATCACTTTGCAAAACTCAAGAGAGACCAAAATACACACCCTACAGTCCACACACACAGGGGCCAGGCTCGCCTCTGGTAGGCCCGAGGGCCTGTGTCCATGGCAGGGTGATCTGTGCCCTGCAGCCCAATCAGATTAAGATAGTCATCTCAGCCACTGTTGCATTCAAAACAGATAGCATTAATGAAATCCTCACACATTTCACAATCTTCCCCTCTTTCCTGCTAACCTTTACTGATTATTTACTAACACTTAACAGCACACACATATAGACGAAAACAAACCTCAAGTCACCCAAATGTAAAGTTTCATGCGAATATATTAGCTAGACTATGGCTTTAAACAGACATACACCCGATTCATTTCAAATACACCCCAAATAACTCCAGGCAGGACTGTCATGAGTCCAAAATATTAATTAAATATCTGAGCTGCTTTAGCAACTATAAAAAACACAACTTGATATTGGGAAACATTAGCGTACAAGATCTTTCCAAAAGTTGCCAAAATGCTTAAAATATTTTATGATTTTCATTTGCAAGGCATGCATTTAATTAGTTTAAACGCTGTGAATAGCAAATTAATTATGTGAATTGAAGGTTCTAATTTTTTTTTTTAAATTAGAATGTAATTTAGATATTTACAGAATGATAAAAAGCAAATAACTCTGAAGTAAACCTCCACAACAGGGGGATTGTTTTGCTTGGCATTTTGTTTAATTACAAAATTCCCCCTCATTTGATTTAGATAAAAATCTTTCTAAAGCATTAAGAAACCAGAACAATTACAAATTAATCCTGAGTCCTGCTAAGAGCTGGGTGTCTTTACTGAAAAAAAAAAAAAAAAAACGGCTGGGGGTGGAGAGAAGAGGCCATAAAGAAAAGAAAAAGAAAAGAAATATATTAAACCCTGTGATCACAGCAAGCTCTTCTCATTTCTTATCCACCCGTTTTCTGTTTAATCCAATACCCAGTAATCCAATTTGTCTATCGGAGTTTGAAGGGGAAGATCTCCACTCCTCCACCACTCAGTCACTTTTTGAACATTTA